TTCCCCCCTCGCAGGCACCGCTCTGCTCATTCCCGTTACTCACAGATTCCTTCTCTGTGCTCTGCCTCCTCCTCCCAACCCAACCCAGGAGCCCCGTGTCCCATCTGCTGCCCGCGGGGCCGGTGCCATCCTGCCGCGGGCTGACACACAGCGGCCCTGGGCAGGGGTACGAGCCAGGGCAGCGCTGGGCTGGACCAGGACTGGTGGAGGCCTTTGGGGGATGAGGTTTACTAGAGGGTGAGGAGGGTTTTGGACGTGGTTCTCGGCCCATGTAAACAGGAGCTGAGGTTTAGGGGACAATTTGCTTATGAGCTACTTGACCTCGTATTTGGGAAGAGACAGATGGAGAAATGCTTGGCTGTCCTGCAGCCCCTGCTGAGCCTTTGGGCAGGACGAGCTGAGGGCCTTGCACTGCCGCTGGAATCACTGTTTGGTAAGGTGTGTGCTGCTCAGCCCCAGAACAATGGGCAATATATGGTTTGGGGCTTTTTGTGTCCCCCTCTCCAGCCATTCCTCTGTGAGTATGGGAGAGGGATCAGTTTTGGGGGTACAGGACCAGGTACAGGCAGGGACAGGGAGGCTGAACGTGAGGCTCCCTCCTGCCTGCACAGACCTTGCAGGGCTGGATGTGCCTTTGCCACTGTGGATCTTCCCTCTTGCTTCCCAAGGAGCTTTGCAGGAAGGGCAGGACAAGAAGAAATGCGGCTCCTCTGAGGTCTGGGAAGGGACCAGCAGGCAGCAAAGAGGGAGAGACCTCACCAGTGCTGTGCAGGGGGACCAGCAGGCAGTGGATGGCAGCTCTCCCAGAGCATGTTTTGGAGCAGGGTCAGGTCTTGAGGCCTCTCCATCCCCACACAGCCCCAGAGTAGGATTGAGCTCTGCACGGGCCACTTCCCACAGGGATGCATCCCTGGCTGCTGTGTGGACACACCAGTGTCACTCCGACAGCGAGCAGAGCCAGAGAATTGCTGGGCTGGGGCAGTGGAGCTGGAGCACCCACTCTCTTGTCACCCTCCCTGCAGAAGAGGCTCACCCGGGGCTTTTAGGTCCTCTCATGTTCCTGCTCACAGACATTTATCATTTTACTGTAGCAGGAGAAACACCACAGGGGCAGCTGGTTGCTTTAGGTGTTGAGTATCCATCTTTACTGGCATTCTCCAGCCTCTCCCTGTATATCCATCACTTTGGCAGTGAGGATAACCAGGACAAACAGAGCTGCTCTCCTTCCTCTGGCTCAGCTCTGTGGTCCAGAGAGACCCAGTGACTCTTTATGGAGGCACGTAGGCTCCAGGCTGTCCTTCACCACCCAAACCCGAGAGCTCCCACCTTCCCCTTGGAAGCTTTAGCAGCATCTTTGGCTTTCACAGTCTGACCCGTGACTTCAAGGCTTAAAAGAAGCTGTTGAGCTCCTTTACTTCTCCTTGTCTCTCTTCTTGCTCTTCCTCTGGCTGGTGAGCTCGCTGAGCTTCTTGTCCAGGCGCCGCTGGAGATGGGCTCTCTTGGCCGGGTCCAGGGAATTGTCTTTGGAGCCACCCCCGGGATACAGGACCCCTTCCCTGCTGATGCGCTGCCGCGCCTGCGCCTTGGCCTTGTCCCCACAGCCATGAACCTGGTGAGGAGAGAAGGGACACTGGTGGGAAACAGGGAATGTGATCACACACGTGGGAATCGGGTGGGTTTACTCCCAGAGCCTGGAATTCCAGTTGCTTTGCACCTTGCCCATGTGAAGACCTGGATCTTCCTTGGTTCTCATGTGAGAGCCAGGAATAAACCTGATTATGTTCTCTGCTAATACAGAGAGACTTGGGGGGTTGGGGGGGGGGGAAGGGGGGAAAGAAGTGAAACAGGACAAGTGACTTGGGAAATAAGAAGAGACCATTTTAGCCATTATCTGCTGTTCAGTGTGATTAGGTCTGTTCTTTGCAGTGGAATTAAAAAGCTTCATAACACTGATTTTGTGCAGGCAAACCTCCAAACCCAGTCTGCGCTGAGGCCCAAGGCTGCGCTTAAGGTATCTTAAGCCAAGTTCAAACCATCCTGAATCATCTCCACCAGGTAGGATTCCAGCCTGTTCTGCCGTGACAGACCTCCCTGTCCATGGAGCAGGTGATCAGGGGCTAGAACAGCCCCTGGCCTGCAGCTCCTGGCCAGGATGGGGACTGCTGAGCCCACTGCCTGATCTGCACCAGCCGTAGCCAAGAGATCCTACAGACCTACCTTAAAACAGGTACTAACCCCACATCAGCAGGGGCTGAAGCACAGGCATCAGTCAGTGGGGTCTGTGTGCTGCATGGGGAGGGGGTCAGCAGCTAGAGGGGGGCATGAGTCACAGAATCACAGAATGATTTGGGTGGGAAAGGACCTTAAAGCTCCTCCAGCTCCAACCCCTGCCACGGGCAGGGACACCTTCCACTAGAGCAGGTTGCTCCAAGCCCCTGTGTCCAACCTGGCCTTGAACACTGCCAGGGATGGGGCAGCCACAGCTTCTCTGGGCACCCTGTGCCAGCGCCTCAGCACCCTCACAGGGAAGAGCTTCTGCCTCAGAGCTCATCTCAGTCTCCCCTCTGGCAGGTTCAAGCCATTCCCCTTGTCCTGTCCCTACAGGCCCTTGTCCAAAGCCCCTCTCCAGGTTTCTTGTCAGTCCCTTTAGGCACCTCTCCTCTGAACAGTGACCAGAGGCTCCAGCCCCTTCAGATGGCTCCAGACATGTGCTGGAGCCCCTGTTATGGCCAGGCTGGGGTAGGAGGTCTCAGGCTATTTCACGCTGAAGCCTGATAACACCTGGGAAAAAGACTGAACACTAAGAAGCAACAAAAACTCGATGACATGGATTTCATCCTTCCAATGGTTTCTTGTTGGAGCTCTCATTGTAATTCAGCAGGGAGAGGCAGTTCTGCAGGAAAGAAATTTACATCCACACTGGATTGTGAATGACCATAAATACAGCGATTCTTTGCCATGGAAACAGATAGTGCTTGACAGGGGGAACATCCGTGTGGAGGATTTATAGGTCAGCTGCTAAATGTTGCTAAGCTCCATGCAGTGAAGAGCTACGCCTGAGGGATGAGGATGACGGGCACAGGAGGCTGCAGCTCGATGGACAATCATCACATCTCAGCTTGTGTCCTCGTCACAGCACGTCAGCTCTGCCTACAGGACTCAAACCCTGCGGCCAGCTTGAAATGAGCACCATGCTGCCAAGCCCGGAGGCTTGAACTTGTCTGCCTGCCTCTGCACCCAAACAGAAAGATGAAGCCTGACATCACTTTAACCTTAGTTTCCTTCCCTCCTTCCCAGATCCGGGGAGGGAAGGGCTGTCAAGCAGCTATGGATGAACTGCAGGACAGAAGCTGTTGGTTCAGTGGCCATCACACTCCCATGTTGGTGCAGGATGTTACAGAGCTGCTGAGATGCCTGCTCAAGAGTCCTCCACCGCAAGAAAGCATAGCAGAGAAGGCAGAGGGACTGCTGTCACTCAGGTATGGATGGGAGCTAGAGCTGAGGCTGCACAGTGTGGAGCAGCTCAGCTCCAAGCCAGGCACTTAAGGAAACACCTAATTGCTGCTCTGTGTGGGCTCAAGCCTTGTCTTGTCCCCAGGCTGCAGAGGGAAGCTGCAGAGAACTGGGAATGGTGTGTCCAGGCTCCCTCGTCACTGCCTTAGGCTCATGCCTCTTTGCTCCTCCTCTCTGCCTTGCTTTATCCTGCACGGCCTGGGAGTGTAAATCAGAATCATGGAATGGTTTGGGTTGGAAAGGACCTTTAGATCTTCCAGTTCCATCCCCCTGCCACAGAATGGTACGGAAGGGCACAAAGCAAGAGAGGGAAGCAGCAGCAGCTCTCGGGAGGCAGCGAGCAGAGCCCAGATGTTAACATCTGTCAGCTCTTCCTCCTGCAGCTCCAGCTAAAGCTCTGCCAGAGAGGGTTCTGCAAGGAAATCCTTCCGGGAGCTCCCACATTATCCCCCTCCCCTGCAGCCCCCCCGTACCTCCGGGACGTGGTGGCTGAGGCAGAAGCGGTGGTGGCAGTGGTGGCAGAGCTGGCCCAGGATGGTGACACTGGCTTTGCAGTGGGGGAAGCCACACGTGTTGTCAGCTTTGATGGCAGCAGAAATCAGGGCGTCGATGTCTTCTTCTGCCTCTGCTGGCTTGCCTGGGGAGCAGAGACCACACTGACCCACCTGCAGGGACACTGACCCCAGGGCACCCGCCGCTGCAGCCTGGGCTGGGGAGGAGCAGCACGAGCCTGGGAGTCACTGTTTGCAGGGACTGGGATTTCAGCCCTGTGAGACCTGTCATTCACAGGCATGAGCTCAGGGCTCCCTCCTGCAGCGTGCCTGGCTGCCTCCCTCTGCTAACAGTGAAGAGGATGGGATGTATCTGGCAGGGAGGACAACAGCTCCTGGCTCTGTTTTCCCCTGCCTCTGTGTTTAGGAGGCAGCCACCTAGTTCAGTGTGGGCCAGATACTCCTCTTAGCTCCTCTCCCTACATTTGGGAGCCTCCAATCTAACTCCTGAGCCTGGAAAAGGGTCCCCAGTGTTTTTATTTTGATCTAAGAGTGTAATTCCCCTCTCCAGGGATGCTGCAGCCAAGTGATGCACGTTCCTGCCAGTCCTCACATGCCTGCACTGACAAGCATCGGAGCGCTTTCCAAAACCACATCCCATACTCCATGCACACAGACAAATCCCAAGGCCTGGAGGCAAAACTATGAGGATTAAGTTGCATGATCCGTTCAAGTAAGCCCCTTAATTGTGCTGGTTATGAATAGAGTGACTTACCTTTGGCTTCACCTTTGTCTTTCCTCCTGCTGCTGGCCCTGGGCTCCTGAGCCTTCCTCGCTGCCTCCTCCCGTCTGGCTTTCTCCCTCTGAACTCTCTCGAGGTGCAGGGCTTTCAGGTCCACTTTCCCCGAGCTCTGGCTGCTCCCTGCGGGCTCAGCAGGGGCAGGGGTTTCGCTGCTGGGCTGCTGTGGCTGAGGACGGGGATGCTGCTCGCTGGGGGGGGCGGCCGCAGGCAGTGCAGGCTCGGGGGGCTCTTTCCTGCGGACGCTGATGTACCGGTCCCTGCCCTCCCCGGTGCTCCCGTGCTGCAGCCCCAGCTCCTCGGCCATCTGGTGA